TGATTCTCCCAGCAACCTCCTGATGCTGGTTAAGGCATGTAATATCATGGGCTTCATGGGGATAAGGGAGTAGATGGAAGAGAGATACAGGACTGACTTAAGACTGTAGAGCTTTTTGCCTGCTACGCCAAACCTAGAACTCAAGCTTCCGAATTCCAAGGCATTGCCCCACCCCCATGCCACATTGCTGCTCTCCAGGTTGTGGCCGTCATCCTGCCCAAGGGCACCACTGTTGTTATGCCAGGACAGGATTTTCTGCTCTGAGACCCAGGGGACTACTGAGCATTACTATCCATTCCTGCTCCTTGATCCACCCAATAATCCTAAAAACAGATGTTAGAACCAGCCTGCGGAGATATTAGCAATACCAACTACAACCATGAAAGCTACCATTTACCGAGGGCCCATCATGTGCCAGGCGATATGATTTACGTGGGTTAGTTCACATACTCCACTGTACACGGCAATTTAAAGCGACTGCAATTGAGTTCTCTAAATACTATACATATTACTTATGTATCGTATCCAACATTCCTAAAACTGTTTTACAGAGAAAACATATCTACCCACAGGAAGGGAAAAGAAAAAGAATCGAAGTATTAAAGAGGGCAAAATAAAATCAAAGTAGAACCAATGAACCTGGTCTCCCAAGTCCTTTCCCTTGCGGCACTGAGTCACCAATCAATGCCATCAGCCTTGCTGATGGACCAGTCCCAGCCCAGCACTGAGCTAGTGACATAGGGAAGTAAATCTTTATATTTAAGATCGTCTCGGCTGTTCGTTCTCAATGCTAAAGGTCTTCTTGCCATAGAGAGGCACTACCTGTGCTCAAGGTAGAGTCAGTCCTCTGTATCCACGGGTTCCTCAGCCATGGTTTCAACCAACCGTGGATGGAACCCTTGGATACCAAGGGCCAACGGTACAATGACATTTTACATGAGGGACTTGAGCATCCCTGGGTTTTGGTGTTTGTGGGAGGAGGAGGGGCTCCTCAAACCAATCCCCCGCAGATCCCAGGGACGACTGTATCTATAAAACCTCCCTGTAAGACCCTCCTATATGCCTGTGTCAACTGTTGGGGCATTGTCAGCAGATCAGAGCAGAACTGGGGGATGTTATAATAAGAGGAAAATAAAGAAATCCCATGTCTAGGAAGAAGAAACGCTAGTGCAGATATCATATCAATTAAGGGCACGGGGGGTGCGGTGGGGTAGAGAATCTCATTGCCAAATATAAATCCCAAAGAAAATAAAATAGTCCTGACAATAAAAATTACTATTACATTACTGATATGAAAAGAGAAAAGCGTGGTTCTAAGTTCACTGAAAAGTTTCCCTTCGGTCTTGAGTGATTCTTCTCCAGAGCCTCCCAGGAGTACAAGCCTATAATTTTAATTATATCTTGGCATTCTTATAAAGCAAACAGCCTGCTCAGGCAGTATTTATTACACCTGTTAGGAAGAATACTTATGAATATGCTTCACAAATTCCAACCACAGTGATCTACAGTGGGCCTTTTCAAGGACAGAAGGGGTGAGCTGGGATGCACTTTGGAGAAAAGTTGCTCATTAAGGGAAGGTTTGTTATCCGGGAACGTATAATTAAAGCGACGGTCCCACCTTCTGTGACAGCCAACACTCGGGTAGTTGTTTGATTGCTGTGTGGGTCAGGGATCAGCTCCTGCTACAAGATGTAGCCACATTAGTGTGTTAGTGAACAGGTTAGGAAGTAAATTACAGCTGCCTCTCTCAAGCACATTACTGTCGGTCTTCATTGCTTTGTTTTTACCGTACATCAGCAGGACTGTGGCTTCTGAAGACTTTGTGTGACAGGTTAGGCATTTTATCCTTTGAGTAAACAGTAATCATGGTATGAACAGAGTGGGGCATTGGAGAATTTTTCCTATTCTTTGAGAATTCCACTCTTCCTTTTTAGTTTGCTCCAAGGGCTCATTTGGGGATACATATATTAAGCCCTTTAAATAGTTCATAATAAATCTTTGTCTCAGGCTGATTCTGACAGTTTCTTAAAGAGTCTTTTAAGAGAGACTCCTCAATCATTTGTTAATCCACGGGGTGATCTTCAGACTTCGGGAAAAAAATAACAGCCAGGGCTCTTGGGTAGTGAAAATACAATGTAGGAAAAAAATATATAAATATGGAAAATCCCAAGAATATCATCTTACTGAGATTACTTACATGTTCTGCATGTATCTAAATGCTTGCTTTCTTTCCCAACAAGCCACAAAGGGAAAGGAAAAGAATTGTCAAAATAGCAAGGATTGTTATTGATAATTTTATGTTTTCGGACTTACATGCATCTCCTAAAATGTTAGACTTCAAACTGTGTAAGAGAACATTCTTTTTAAAGTCAACTAATTCTCTTGGTAGAAAGATCATTTCTTCTCTGCCCTTGTTTCCCCTTTAAGTCTACTTCTGTCTTCCCCTAAATTACTTACATACAAACTATTTTACCTGGTCGGGGAGAGGCACTCTACTTTTCGAGGAAGGATTGTAGATGTTGATTATTAGTGTCAACAAAAGAATTTTGAAGGGCAAGACATAACTTTCAGAATAAAGACCTTTCTAGGTTGGCTTTACGCATTTTAGCTTCCATTTTAGATATAAGCTAGTTTGTCTAGTATATTAGATGTTTATAAGTTAAAGAATATAACACGATTTTAGCACCAAAAGAATATATGACACTTACCAGAAGAAAGTAAAGGCAATATTATCTCCCATGTAAATAATTAATACCAGAAATCATTACAATACCTGTGCATTATTTGTGCAATGAGTGGAAAATATTCTAAAGCCTCTCTACAGAATAAAAGAGTGCTCGATCGCAAGTGTTTTACGTATAAATCATTTGCTATTTCAGGGAAACTTATTTGGATGTATCTGGTTTGGCTTGTAACTGAAGTGAATCAGGAGGAAACTAAAGACACAGGTCATACCTCTGAGTCAAACATGAGGATAAGCATCACGAGAGGGGCATTTTCTCCAGGTATATGATCTGAACCTTCATGTCATTTCTAACATGCAGCTTCTCAAGCTATTAAAAGATACTGAGAACTTTACTAATGACATGCAAATGGAGTTTGTTAGAAATAAATGCAATAATAAAATGGAGAAGTGGGCAAACAACAGCCTACTGTTATAGATGGATTCATTCACACGTAAGGTCAAATAATTGAAGACCTACAGCAAGGGCGACCATAAATACCTGGTGTCCCTGCTCTGGAGAGGATTAACCACAAAACAATTATGACGAATGTGGTGGGAGCGTTCAGCTACCAGGCAACAGGAAATATGCAGTGCCAGTCTTTAAAATAATCATTTGGCATTACAGAATATACAGTTTAGTCCCAGATGCCATCCTGATATAATGCTAAAGTGTTGATGTTAAAAATATCAAGTACCTCATTAGATCGTTATATGCGAAGCAGGAAAGGGGGCAGTAATTATAATAGTATCAACACACTTGCTTTGCACCCAGTTTGAGAAAAGGCTGCTTCTACCCCATTTTCATCATCACTGTTAGCAATAAATAGCCTTTATGTTTTTAAATTGAAGGAAAAAGGGTACAGCAAAGCTAATTGCGAACAATATAAATAGAATCATTAAGAAAATGACTGCTTTTTTATCCCCCCCACTTGGGAAGACTATGCATAGCCTTGAAGACAATATACAAATGACCTAACATCAAGTTCAGATACGGAAATGATGCCTACACATGTATTGTGATGCCTACACATATATCAGCTGACCAAGATCCTAAGGATGGAGTCCTGTCTTCTTTGCAGCAAAGCAGGGCTACTTCTGCCAGGGGGTAAGAAGACTTTGTTTAGGTGCTGAGATAGGGCAGTGGTCATTGAAACTTACTGGGATCATAAGATAAAGGAAAATTTGCTTAATTAAAGGTGTCAAAAATAGATATTCATTAGCAAAATAACAGATATAGATAATTATGGGGTTATCTCCCATTTCTGGCTCCTCTAAATTATTACAAAGTATAAATAATGTTACTAAGAATATTCTCCAATAAATAAACCTCAGTTCTTTATTGATGATGGATTTAATATAGTACTTCGAACTGAAAACACTTTGAAAAATAACCACTTCAAGATGTGCTGGAATAGAGCCATAATAAAACCAACAAATTTTAGCTGCCTAGTCAAATTCCTCCTGTATGATAAAAAAATAATAAATTAGCAGAAGATACTGACTCAGGAGACATTTGTGGAGACCTGCCAACCCAGGCTCTCCTCTACACCCAGAACACACACGTTCACACAGGAAAATAAAAACTGGCCGCTGTGCTGGACCCCATATCCAAGAAGGCAAATGTGAAAAAGCCACTTCATCACACCAACGTTCACTTGAATTTTCAATTATTGCCTGGCTCTCTAACGCTCTCCAGTGAGAAAGTTCCAGCCATTCAGAACCTTTTCTGTGTCAAACAGATGTATCCCCGGCCAGTCTCCTAAACTCCTCCATTCTTCCTTCCTGCTAACCACGTGACTCTCTCACACGAAACCCTTCCTCGGTGCCACATAGAGTCCTCATTCTTCCATGAGCAGGGGTTCCAGAGTTAACAGGTAAAACTACAGCCTTCCCAGTTAAATTTGAAACGTACATGCAATATTTGGGTCATACTAAAAAAAAGCAGTCATCGTTTATCTGAAATTCAAATTTAACAAGGTGTCCTGTGTGTTCATCTGGGAACCGTCATTAGGAGTAAGCTCTGCTATTGCCACCATTTTTCCACAAGGCCCACCTCTGCTTCTTCACCTTTATTGAAGCCCTTTTGCCTTAGAGCCCAATACTCTAGAAACTTGCTCTTAACAGAGGCCATGATTCATTCCTACGCTTCTGACTCTCCCAGCATGAAAGAGCAGTGGTTATCACCCGGCGTTCCCACTGCCGCTTCCGCAACATTTCCCCCAACCTCAGCATATAAAAACTTCCTCTTAAAAAAGAACAAAACAGCATTCCTTACCTGTTCTCAATGCCGCTGTCTGTCAACACCCACACCTTTCGTGAACCTTCCTCAATGGCGAAGGCTGGTGCTATGAGGTCTGCGCAGCCGTCTCCACCGGACGGCAATAGATGCCAGAGTCAGAGTATCCAGGATGGGTCCCGATTCCACACAGATTTCCTCGACTGCCAAAGCTCAACAAACTCATTTCTTGACTTGCCTATAGTCATCCATTGGCACAGCCATTCCTTGACCTTTAACCATGCTTCATTTTTAAAATGCCAACTACCTGTTAGAAAAAATAGAGAAAACCTTTCTAAGGTATGAGAGCAACAAAAAAAAAGTTACAAAGGGAAAAATGTATAGATTTCTCTATATAAAATTTAAAAAACATATGTTTATCAATGAACATCCTAAACAGAAGTAAAAGGCAAAAAAATGGGGAAATGTTTGCAAGAAATATGGCAAAGGTAATATCCTTAATACATATATCTAAGTATCTCATTCAAATTGATAAGAAAAGAGAGTAAAACTCAATTGGAAAATAGAGGACATAAATGAGTCACTGAAAAAAGTTCAAATAGCCAGTAAGTATGTATTAAAACATTATTCAACATCATTAGAAAGAAAAATGCAAATTAAGCACATGAGATGTTTTTACATATTGCTTTTCAGGGTATCTTCTCTGTATCTTCTACTAATTTAATATTTTTAGCAAACAAGAACACATATATTAAGATGGCAATTAATATGGACATCAAACATTGCTGATAAACATATAAACTGATAACACAGCACAACTTTTCTGGAAAACAAATTGTACATATTAGCTTTAAACAGAAAAGCTTATCCTCTTTGACCCAGTAATACTCTTTCTAGAAATCCACCCAAAGACGTGATAAAAAAGTTGAAGGAAGATTAATTTCAAAGAAATTCATCACCATGTAATGGAACATTACACAGCCAGGAAAAATAGTGTATTTGAAAGTGATGAACTGATGTAGGCACATGCAGATACTATCATTTCTTATTTTTAAAGCTGCCTTGCAACCAAGGCCGCTAGAGCCCCAACGTCCTTTTATTCCCCAAACAGTGTCTAATAAAAGCCCAGCTATTATCCCCTAGTGAGCTGTGACTTTTCTTTTAACATTAAAAAATGTAGAAGATATAGGTGTGATCCCACTTTTGAAATAAATATATAAATAAATAGTAAATAAGGCAGCAACAAAACATATTAGTGTTAATAGTGACTGTAGCTGGGGATAAGGTTACTGGGTTGTTTTTTTTTTCTTATTTATACTTTTGCATATCTTCCAATTTTTCTATGAATGTAGAAAAAATATATAGATCAAAAAGATGAACTTGGGCTCCCCTGGTGGCGCAGTGGTTGAGAGTCTGCCTGCCGATGCAGGGGACGCGGGTTCGTGCCCCGGTCTGGGAAGATCCCACGTGCCGCGGAGCGGCTGGGCCCGTGAGCCGTGGCCGCTGGGCCTGCGCGTCCGGAGCCTGTGCTCCACAACGGGAGAGGCCACAACAGTGAGAGGCCCGCGTACCACACACACAAAAAAAGAAAGATGAACTTGTTTAAAAGCAACAAATAGCATTCTCACAAATCATTCTGGGAAGAAAGCCCCCGCTTACCGGCTGTCTCACCCAGGTCACCACCTCTACCCCACCCCTAGCCCTGTCATTCTTTCCTGTTCCCCAGCTCATCACTCTATCCATCCTCACTTGCTAGTCTCTTAACCCTTTGGAGTCCCTCACTCTATTGTCTTTCTTTCATTCCCATTGAGCCCGCTCCCATCCCTGGGAAAAACCCACTACCCTGAGCAATGCCTTGAAAAACCACAAAGCCATTATTAGTAGGGTACCCTAGAAAATCAGTGCACTTACAGTTAAGTCATGCAACTTCTAACCACTGTGTAATCTTATTGCTTATTTTCTATTGATCCTCCTTGCTTTGCCCACATGAGCTGCTCCACAGCTTTTTTCTTTACTCTCAAAATCCCCTCCTTCTCCCACTTCCTTTATCTCAGCAAATGACCTTTACTCTATTGAGATTAAGTTGTTCAGCGCGGTTCCCATCACCCTCCCCCTCTCTCTTTTTTTGCTCACATCCTTTTTTTTTCTTCCCCCCATTTCAGAGGCTCACCTCTTTTTCTGTGTTACTAATGAAATAGCCCTTAGGATTTAAATTCTTCAATTAGCATTTCTAATACAGACAGCTTTAAACTCAGTCCTCTCAATCAATAAACATACTCAGCTCTCTTTATTTTCATCACCAAATTCACCAAAGAGAAGTAAACACTTATTTACTCAATCTTTATCCCACTTTTCTACTGAAGCTGCTCTCTCTGGAGATCCTCAAATAAATGACAATGCCAATAGGTTCATCTGGGGGGCACAGGACACTGGAAAATTCTTAGTGACCCCTCCCTTAGTTTCCTACATGTTAAATTATTCACCTTTAGTATATCACTTATTTTAATTTTGGACAAAAGTCCAAAGGGTAACAGTTCTAGAATTTCATCGTCACTGGCGCATATCTATGCAAATAATAGTTTTCCGTAAAGCTATTTACCAGTGCAGAGCGATGAAGCTGCAACTGGAATCATGAGCCCGGAGCTGTGGCATCTTCACCCCGACATCCACGTGACTTAGTGTTCTGTGACCACACAACAAAAGTGTGGCCCTCATCACTCGCTAGCCCCTTACCCTGCATCGCTGTTCTTTCGAGCATTAAGCGCTTCCAGAAATGGTTATATATTCTCCCCTCCTCCCAAATGTAAGCACTGCTATAAACAGTCCCAGCTCATTATAGATACTCATTACGTATTTAATGTAAATAACTGAACAAAGACTGAACGAGCTATAACGTCCAGTACATGCTTACACGTGCTGCGTGAAATACTCCTTGTCTTTAGGGCTATGTGCCGAGTAAGGACAGGCACAGGCAGAGATCAACCTTCAACAACCTAAAAGGTGCCCTCTCAGGCCACACGTCTGCACTTTGCATGTGGAGAGTGATACTTTGTGTATCAATGGTTTGAATCACTGCCTGATTTTTCACCCAGTGCTGCGTAACTGTTTCTCATCACATGGCATTGTTGTAGTTAGTCGCAGACCTTTTAAGCAATGAAAAGGCAGAATGCATATGTGTGTTTGCAAGTGCCTCTGGAACCAGGCTCCCCTATATGACTCCTTTTGAAAATACGGTATGTCGACAACATCTGTGCCTGAGATGGAGGTTTGGCCAGAATGCTAAGAAAATAAACGTGGCAGTTCAACTCCATACTGGCAACCAGTTACTGCCCCATGGATAGGCTGCACCGAAGATTCATGTATATAAAATAGTATATTAAAGTAAACTTACCAAAGCGAAGAGCAATCATTGCAACCATAATTTTTTCTTCCTCTTTGGGATTCTAATTTTAAAAGCATTAAAGAAGACAGCTGCTCATGCTGTGATATGCGCTAAACAGCCTGAAGGATGGAAAAAAATATATTTGTAGCTCATAATAACTATTGACCTTTCTGATATACAATGTTCTCTGTGTTAGCTATTCGGTTCTATCAACAGTGAAGATTGAACATGACTTTTTAATAGAAAACATGGGGTTTCAAGCTGCCTTCACAAAGGTGTTTATGTATTGTTATTTTGTTTTGTACTACAAAGACTAAGTCCTGATGCCCTTTGTCTGACATCGTGTTTGTCGGTAAAAAAAGAAAGAAAGGAAAGGAAGGAAGGAAGGAAATAAAAGAAGGAAACAGAAAAGGCAAAAAAGCCTCAATGTTATTGAGTATGTTTTATATGAGGAATTGGCTCGTAACCACTTTACAGTCATGATAAAAGCACTGCCACACTCGATCCCATAAGCAATATTGGTAATGGAATCCAAGCAGCATCCCGGGAGGACATGCTATATTTTTCTCCCAGAATAGATCCCTCAAGTGGCAACATTTATAGGGAGTCTCCAGTAAGATTTAAAACCGTCACAGTATTCAGATGGCATGTTCTTTGGAGTACACAGCCTGCTGCAGAACGGGTCATGTGGGATATCATAGACTCTCAAAGTCTATCTTTCCAATACCCAGTTTTTCCCCTTGAACTTTCCTGAAGCTTAGTAGTTGTGTATAGAAACACCCACCGGTAGCAGCTTGACTCTGACACTGTGTGTATCTCCCCCAGAGTGGTATCATCCAAACACCAACTGTGGAGCAGCAGGCGGCGGCTGAACACTCTCCTCTCCCTCAGGGGACAGCCCCCCAAGTAGCAACCCCAACCTTATGCATTGCAGTTCTCATCCGAAGCAGGCAGATATGGTCGGGGAGCTTGTGCTGACAGGTGGCATGGGTTGGCAGATTATTATTTTTGCCTCTTTTTTCGGTGGATTATTTTTAATGTTATACTGAAAGAAGTTTATTACATCATTATTGAACCACAATTATTTTCACAGCTATGCTCTAGAGTTTCAGTTAATGATTCACAAGTTTCTAAACAAAGCTGAAGACTCACAACTCAGTGGGAGCAGGAATCAGCCCTAATGAGACTTCAATAAATTTGGCTTTTCCGTCATACTCCAGAGCAAGCACTGAAGCTGAGAGAGGCTGATTGGCAAGCCACAGGGTAGTGGCTGCAACTGCATTTGCCTGACATCCAAAAGGTGGTACAACTTGGGTCCACAGAAAATGCTGGGCACTGCCTCCCCGCCAGTGGCCGAGGATCTCAGCGTAGCCTACTAAGGCCCATCACCCCCTTCAAAGTCACCCTGGCACATGGTCGAGGATGGTAGAGGACAGCCCAGTGGGATGGAAACCAACTCCCAAAAGACAGAGAGCAAAGTATTCTCTAATTCTGGGCAAAAGCAGGCCAATCCTCTTTTAACTACCACACCCACTAGTCCATGACTCTCAAAATAACACTTAGCAAAAAACGCTTCCTTAGAAATGAATACAAGAAGAGGACATAATGATTCCTTCTCCTCCAAAAAAGAAAAAAAAGACTTCTTGGAACAAGATGTTTGGTGTGAGAGAATGGGCAGGGGTAAAATGAATAATTCTTCTTAAAAGAATGCATCCGAACATTACTGTATTCAACATGCAAACTGAGTGCCTACTTATGTAAAACATAATCCTAGGCACTTGAGGGGGATGAGTGGGGGCTGGCGAAGAGCAGGGAATAGATACAAAAAAGATAAGCAAGACGTCAAGCCTGCCTTTCAAGATATCACAGTCTTGCAGATGACGCTATTGACAGCACCTTTGGCATACTGCACATTTTAAAAAATCAGTTGAGCATTGAAAACACAGACCCCACTTAAAAAATCAGCACTGCAGGTAGTTTTCCTTACATATGTGAATTCACCAGGTACTCACACTCTGGGCAAGGCATTCCTTCTCAAAATCACATGAGTTTTACCCACGTACATGGTTGTCACATATCAAAACAAGGCTATGATTTGTCCAAAAAGAGGTTCCACGTGGGTGTTATATTATCTATCTTTGCATAACAAATTACCCTCAATACTGATAGATTTTTAAAAAGCAAAGATATCTCATTCTATAGGTCAGGAACCCAGTAGCAGCTTGTCAGGGTTAGCTGTAGCTTGGGATCTCTCATGAGGTTGCCATAGAGATGTCAGTCAGAGCACAGTCATCCGAACGCTTGATCAGGGCAGGAGGGTCCACATCTAAGCTCACTCACGTGACTGAGAGTAGGAAGCCTCAGTGCCTCACTACATTAGCCTCCCCATAGGGCTGCTCAAGTGTCCTTACAATATGGCAGCTGGCTCCCATCAGAGTGAACGACCCGGGAGACAGCAACAAGGAAGCCACGCTGCCTGTTATGACCAAGTCATACACCCGCCAACTCTGCCACATGCTACTTATTAGAAGTAAGTCACCAAGTCTAGCCCACACTCAAGGGGAAAGGAAGTAGGCTACACCTTTTGGGAGGAGGAGTATTGAAGAATTTGTGGCATTTTTAGATTACCACAGCTGTCATCCTGGATAAACATAAAATCCACTGGGACAGTTTCCGTGAGAAAAGATTTATTTTTACCATTGGCCTACTATTGAGAAACTAAGTTGGGGAGCTCTTACTACATTAATGTCAATGTTTAATGAATATTAGTTATTGAATATATTAAATATATGTAAATAATACATGTGTGTATACATACACATATATTTTATTTATATTTATTTATATATATACATATATACACACACACACGTATATGTATATACATATAAATCTTTGCTGTGGGTTTAAGGAACTATGCTATGTGCTATAGGGAATCAAAGTTAGACCTGTCTCCACCCTGCTGCCCTAGCGTAAGAGATAAAATGAGAATATAAATAAATGTAAGAACTGGAATATTGGACATATCATGAACTTTGGAGTCAAACAGATCATGGCTGTGCGCTCTGCCACTGACTATCTGGGAGACTTGGAAAACACATATTTTTATATAATAATAAAGATTTGGTATTTTCATCTGTCAGCTTGGGCTAAGTTATGTTGCAGTAAATAAAACAATCCCCAAATTACAACAAAGATTATTTCTGTGAGGGTGGGCTAAAGAGCCTGTCCCACATTTTCCTCATTCCAAGACCTGGGCTGATGGACCAGCCACCATCTGAAATGTTGGAAGTCACCAGAGCAGAGAGAAAGAGAAAGTAGCACCTCGTGACCTGCTTTTCTCGAGAATTCCACCTGAAAGTGACACGACTTTTGCTCACATTCCACTGGCCACAGAAAGCCACATGATCAAACCTAACTTCCAAGTGGCTAAGGAAGTGCAGGAGAATTTTTGTAAGAAAAGAAATAACTTGTTACACACTTGACATATACTCATTCTCAAGTTCTAAAGTACATCAGTATCTAACAAAGGTAACAGCATATGCCAGTGAAACAGATTGGCTTTATCAAGATAATTGCAAAGTGAACCAACATCTCTTCCCTTGTCTTGTGAAAGTCATTTTGGTTGTTCGCACTTTGCACAGAATTTCTGAAAAAGGAAAGATTCATTTAGGCAATGGAGTTGTGGAAGAGTATATTTAACTTCATATCTTAATAACTTAGCCCAATGCCACTTCTCCTTTAAAAGGAAAAATACTGTGTTCACACTTGAGGAGTTTTGACTTTTCTCAAAACTTAGCTTTTCTTTTCTCCCCCACCCCCATCAGGATCTGATGGCAGTTGGAGGCTCTGACACTAGGGTTGCACCACAGACATTTGGAGTGTGCTAAAAAGAAAGGCCCTCTTTATGCTTTGGCCTCATCCACTTGCAGGGACCCTGGAGAGAATCCCAGAAGTGCTCAGAATACACCTGGCCCTTGGCTTGGCCAGTGAGAACTAGATGGTTCTCAGCCACCTACCTTCATCACCACCTCCTGCCCCTTCATAATAATAAGGAAGCAGCAACTACAGTACCAGTTAGGAAATTATAAACAGAGGTGGAATAATGCAGATACACTTTCACATTATGGTGGAATTTGCCAACACAAAAATTATTACAACTTTTGCTATGCATTGTTCTGTAAATTTCACAAAATATGCAAAAACGGACATTCCAAGAGCTGAGATTATTTAGATTTACTTAAAAGTTGAGGCCCTTGAGATTCACCAAAAGAGAGTCTATTTCTTTATCTAGCTTTCAGTTGTGTGGGTCTTGCTTTTGTTTTCTTTTTCAGCTCCTTGTTTATAATTCATAGGTCAAAACTGGCCATATCTGGGCTTTGACCACTTAATCCAGCTTTACCTATCAATTTCTCCTTTGTCTCCGGCAGCAGATATAACTTCTCTGAATCCCAAATTTCTTATGAGATTATGCAGCAATCATGGCCTGTCTCAAAAAGCTGACAGAAAAGCGTGTGATATCTAGAAAGCACTCCAATACGCTATTTTGACATAGATTGGTTCCACGGTCTTAATAGAGCAGAAGTCCTAAGGATACTTTTCTCACTATTTTGTCCTCTCTTCATATCCACCCAACACACACACGCACCCTTTCTCTATTCAGTGCTACAGTCATGTCGCACGTCACCAAGGCCACGCTCCCTTGGTTCTCTCCCAATAGAGCCTTCATCACAATCTGTGCTTCTCACCTGAGACACTTAGAAAGCTTCTGTCCTAAAGTGGCTACTCCTGTCACATGCAGATAATATGTCTCTTTGCATGAGAGACACCACTGTCAGAGCTGGGATAACCAGAGCATATTTGCCAGCCCTTGGGCAAACGTGGCTGTGTACGTGTGTGCTGGGAATGAGTTTGTCACGTATCCTTTGAAAGGGCCAGTGTGGCAGGTTACTTCTGTCCCTGTCCTCAGAATTAGAAGGCCGTGTGGAATTAAAGCAGAAATCTTTATCAGAAATCAAACTCTTTTCGAAGTTGCCCTCTCTCTTCTCCCTGACCACCCTGCAAATCCCCATGCTCTTGAAAGACAGCTTGAGGACCAGTTTAGATTTTCAATCTCAGCTCCACTGGGGCAAAATCTAACCTCAGCATTCCTCTCACACCAGTTGTCCTGGGTTTAGTGAACACTGCTCCTGTATATGCTGGAGATTTAACACATGGGGCAGGGGGATGGGGGCGTTATATTCACTGCCCAGCCAGAGCAGGACGCAGCATTCGGCTCCACAGCTCATGGGAAGCTCGTGCCACCCAGCGGGAAGCACCTTTGCTGGGGTCTCTAAAGTGCCCACTAGGTGTTTACCTGTGCAGTTCCACATACTAAAAACAATAACAATTTCTAACGATACCTGAATTATTCACAGTTACATGGTTCCTTCCTTCCTGGGTCAGGGTATCCTGGACCTCAGCCATAAAACACAGTTCGCTTTTCTGGGAAGTTGCATTTTTCCTCAGCTGTTGCAAACACAGTCTCGCTGAACAGAGCTGAACTTGTTGAGGCTAAGTCTGTGGTTCTGTGGTGTGGATTCCGATGGCTTCACATTAGTTCAAGTCTCTGAGGACCAGGGCCAATAAATGTGAAAAGGACACTAGTAGCTTGGCATACTTTTCCACTTCCACCACGATGAAAAAGTGCAATAAATTAAGTCTAACCTTAAATGTATAATCTGTCCTTGGGAGGAAGGAAAAAAAAAAGGCATATAGCATCTTCAAGCTCTCGGCATCCCTTACGAGAAAAAATTGGTTCTAAGGGTCTCTGATCTTGTGTTTTAGTAAAATAGAACTGCACGGCTGACTGACAGTTCTGATCTAAAGCATTTACGTCTAAGTTTTGATCTCTCTGCTTTTGATTAAAACTAATGAGCTCATTTAATTCAAAATGGGAATCTCTGATAAGAGAAATAAGGTTGATGTGATTGGATTAGAGGGGCAAATTAAACTCTTAGAGCAGAAGTTTGTGCTTATATAGTGTATTAAAAAGCTGTTGGCGTATTATAGCGTGTTAGATGATGAGAAAAATTTCATAGTAATTCATATTTAATCAGAAGAAATGAAAGTACTAAATATAACATGGCTCTGCTTTTCCCTCGAGTGATAAAAAGCTGTACATTGAAAATGACATCAGATCCGTGCTCTCTAAGACAAAAAAAGAAGAAAATCTTAAGAGAGACACATAAGAAGGGACACTTGTCAGTGGTTCCATCACCCCAGAAGAGAAATACTGTAAATATAGGAAAATATAGTCATATTAAGACAAGAATGATACAAGAAACGCCCTAGACCACAAATAGTGAGGCTTCTGTTATTACAGTAGCTCGTATTTTTCTTTCATCTGAGCATCGAGTCTAATATAAAAAATAGACATTTCTTTCCCTTAAAAATGTATGGGAGGGGCTTCCCTGGCGGCGCAGTGGTTGAGAGTCCACCTGCCGATGCAGGGGACACGGGTTCGTGCCCCGGTCCGGGAAGATCCCACATGCCGTGGAGCGGCTGGGCCCGTGAGCCATGGCCGCTGAGCCTGCGCGTCCGGAGCCTGTGCTCCGCAACGGGAGAGAGGCCACAACAGTGAGAAGCCCGCGTACCGCAAAAAAAAAAAAAAAAGTATGGGATATGTTTCATAATTTAAAACTGAAAACCTTGTTTTGCCTATTTTTCTTTGTGCTTTAATAGCTATTTTCACCCGACTTAATTCTTAAATCTCTTTACACATATTTCTTGACCTTCATCCTAGGGAAAATTAGTGCTCTTGTAGGGCTGCTCAAAAGAAATTCAATTTTGTTGTTGGACATGTATTTTCTTTTACTTTAGAATAAGAGAAACTGTAAACTACTATTTTAGAAGGGTAAAATTAGAATATTATTAGGCTTTAAAGCCCCCAAATTAATTTCTTTTCAGGAAAATAAATTTATAAAACACCTTGGAAGTTTATTTTTCAAGGAAATAGATTCACGTTGCCCTCTGGCCCGTTTGCATAAAGGTGGTTTTAGATCAGCAAGGCTGCAAAATACCATTTTAAGTCAAAACATATTCTGCTTAGTCTAAATACATGTAAAGGGAAAGAGTAACTATCTTGCTTAAGGGAAGCAACTATGGTTTTCTCATATCGGAAGCAAAGAAGTAAAAACATAGAGGCTGTTTTTTATTCTGATGAGGGCAGGGGACAAGCTGCCACTAGAGACAAGAAGAGAAGGTTGACACTGGGAGTACTTTTTGATTCTGTCTGTATATCCCATTCTCAGCCCTCTACCTCGAGTCAATCGAGAAGACTTCATGCCTCTTATTCCCCATAGTGAAGGAAACTGACTCAGAAGGGCAAGGACACGGGCCAGGGTATGGCTGCCCAATATTGATGGTGCCACGGTTCTCAGAACTCCCCAGTAGGCAACTGATCCAAGAAGGTATTTGCAGGGAGAACAAAAAGCAAGTCATCCTTACTTTCATCAGAAGCATCTCTGCCCGAGTCTTGGTTCATCCCGTAAATCTCTGGGGTCCTTGTTTTTTGTGACTGTTCTCTCCATGTGCACCAGCCAAGCCTCAGGATGTGCTACAGTTACCTACTTACTATCAGACCCCACTTGGGGAGCTGCTGGAACTTAAAAGGCCTGAAAAGCCCCTGCTAGAAACTGGAAAGGAGTTTCTTCAGACACATTAATTTTTCTTTTATATTTTCTGCAAAGTAAACATTTTCTAAATGAGGTAAATTGATTACTACACTCTTAGCACCCATCAGTCATTTATTTTTAGTGAACTCAAGGATCGTACCTGAGCAGTAGCTGAGAGGGGCTGTGTAGAGATCTAAATCATGTGTATGTATTTTTGTATTCTTCAGTGGAATCAACCAGCCCCAGCCTGCTAACCACTGACAACACTCTTGAGCGTTCGTTTTTCATCCGAATGAAATCTACGCTGACCAAACGCGGCGTGCACATCAAATCATCAGGATATAAGGTAAGCTGGGCTCCAGCAGGGGAAAGACTTCTGTCTCGGGTCAATCCTAGGTCACTTGCATTGGGTTTTCCAGCTGCTTTGGGTCCGTATAATCAATACATGTGATCTGGAGCGGCCCACAGGGTTCTTAGTTATCTTCCTGTCTCAAGTCAGGGGATTCATTACACCCCTCATTCTCACTTCAGACAGTGCTGGTGCCCTAAATGCCTCAGCGAGTGTCTTTCCTTAAAACACATGTTAATAATACATCGAGTGCTTCAGCACATGCTAGAAATTCACTTTGATGGAGAAGGTAAGCCAAATTCACATCAGCCCTTAAGATGACCATTCTAGAACTACTACTATGAGAATTCTACTTCTCCCACCTCCCCCTTCCAATCCCCCCTTTCTCTTTAGAGAAAGACTGTCCATTTTAATAACAGCTTGGCCACCAGGATTCATACATGTAGATAAAAAAATCAGGCTGGACATCAGAAATCCTAATTTTGAAATCACAGTGACTGAACATTCAGTCACACCTTAGCATAGATAGAACACTCCACGTACAGAAAATATGTTCCGCACAACAGCAAAGACCAAGTCCAGAGTCATAATCTACATTATTACCATTCTAAGGTTAAGGATATAAAAGCTTTCTAATCTTGGGAAATTCCAACGTTTCAGTTACTATAGCAACATAAATTAAGACCTATGAAATTCATGAAATGCCTTTGGCAACCCGAATCTTATCAGTTTTACAACACACTAACCAATCTTTCAAACAATATTTATTATATGAGGAGGGCAAACAGATGGAATGCACTGTCGCTGTGGCCGGCATGACCTTTCCCCACTGGGGAGTCTAGAGCTTCCAGTAGCCCAGTTCTTGTGGGACAATGCCATAACCTTGTCAGGGATGGTAACGGTCATTTTCATCAGGCTTTAAAAACCTTACATAAGTCATCAGGAGGCTAGCAGCTGCAGAAAAGTTAGAATCAGGCGTTTCCTTTGACATTAATTCTTCTGTAAAAAGGAAGCTTGTGGTAAAGCAGGTCCTTCTAAGGATGACTTTTAGCTGAGCTGTCCTACAGCCCAAAGGGCACATGTGGAACACCCTTAACCTTTAACAGGGTTCAAAGCAAGGGAGAGGCCCCCCGGGCAGCGCCCTGTGCAGTAGCTCCCCCTACAGAGGGATTTGTTGGCCTGTTACAAAGGGATATGTCGGAGGACAGAAAACAGACTATCTTTAGGACCATCATGTATTTTTCTGCCTCACGGAAACACTGTACATTTATTAGTTGTTAACTGTGTAGCCTTAGCCAGTTTGGAATTCTATAAGCAAACTATAGGTGTAGTGATTATTGTCATTTTAATGCCAGAAAGATGCATTCTTGGCATTCCAACTTTTCTGTCAGCATTTGTTCTTCACCTTTCCTGGTTTTTCCTGGTCTGTAGCAGGCATATCCCAGAAGGGAAGAAGGGTGGAAGAGGTGAGGTATATTTTGAAAAAGCAATATCTAGTGTAATTCAATATCATTAGATAACTGAATTTTTTGAAAACCAACAAAAAACTATTATTACTTTCATACAACAAACTAGAGATTGTAAAGCTCTGCAACATTTTATTTGCCCAAAAGTGGGAGGTATGGTAAAAAAAAAAAATCATAATAACAACAATATAGAGAAATAGTTTGAGTTTCAGTCTAGGCAAGAGACCAAGTGGCTTGGGTTCTGTTGGTTCTGTCATTCGGGCAGCTCAGTCAAGCTGTTTGGCTACATGATCTGAAATTGGAGAAGCTAATTTCTTAAATATTGACAGAACATTTATTCATTATTTTGACAAATGTTTATTGAACTCCTAATGTGGAGCTTGTTCAAGATCCTAAACTCATCTTTGAACACCAAAAAGTCCCTGCCAACTGCTAACGAACAGGGGGAAAAGAGACCGTAATAAGTGAATAAATGAAGAAGGTGATTTCAGAGAGCGACGAAGGCGAAAACAACAGTAGCTAACATTTGTGTTCACCACAATATGCTGAGCGTGGGACAGCTTATGTGTGTTAGTCCTCAAGACAATACAGGAGGAAAGCGTTTTCATTGTTTCCATTTTACAGACGAAGAAACTAAGGCTGGGGAGGTTAATTACCCACCCAAGTTCACACACTGAAGGGACGGAGCTGGGGTTTGAACTCGGGGAGTCTGGCTCCATGTCCCCTGCACTTAACCACTAGGCCACACTATTAGGCAGAGTGAAGCAAGGTAATGTGAGGGAGTGGCTGGTGGGGACCACTTTAGACAGGGTCACAGAAGGTCTCCCTGAGGAGGTGACACGTCACCTATGGGAGGTGAATGAAAAGGGACCTCCATGAAAATATAAATGGAAGAAGAGTGTTTCTGGAGCTCCTCTGGTTTAGGATTAAGACACCCTGCTCTACGAAGGGAAACAAAATATTAAAAAGCATAACCTCGAACATCCAGGATTAGAAGAGATTTAGAAGCTGTTCCAGTTTCCATCAAATTATATAATGTTAAAGTGAGCAGACTCCTCTGACAGTACCTCTTTCTCAAGGTATCCTGAAAGTCTCCACCCAATGCTTACTTTCCTCCCCAGAACGGCTAACATGAGAGTTGATTCATCCACTGTTCCCCCAATAAGATGAATCATTCAACAGACCCAGCTCTCCCCTCCACCTCCACAGTGAACCTCCCTCATTAATTAACCTTGTCTGGAAGTTAGTGGAAGAGCTGATGAGAAGCCGTGACATGACACAGCTGAATAACATCCCTATTTATCTGTTCATTCTCAGTAAATAAATCTAACAGCTTATAAAACATTCAAATAAAACTGGTAATCACCCCACCACCACACAATAAACACAAATAAAAAGAAACAGAGATGATAATTTCTCCATACTCCCAATATCCTCCCTAATTTATTACCATTGTTTGCTTCTTTCCTTTCCCTTAGTTAAAGATTCAAGATGTTAAGCCTTGCTCAGTGCATGTCACTATATTTCTCTCCATTTTTTCTGTGTCCTTGGCACATGGGCCGTTCTCACTTTCTCCATCACTTTTTAGTGTTATCGTTGTTGTCACTGACAGTAATAATAGTAGCAGAAGTACCACTTATTGAACATTGGCAGGCACCGTACCGCTTTATACTTATTTTGTCTAATCCCCACAACTTTATATAAAAACTTCCTCTGTGCCGGGCATTGTTCAAGCTTTACGTTCTATTATTATGCCCATTTTGCAGGTGGTGAAACTGAGGCTTTCAAAGTTTCAATACTTTGCCTGTATTCATTCTTACAGCTCTTAAGTAGCTACTGAGGAGCCAGGATTGATCCAGGCATTTAGGTTCCAGAGTCTGCCCTGTTCACTCCTCTGCTTCAATGCTTAATGGATTAAGTCCAGAGAAGCACTCAGCACAAACTGGACCTCAGCAAAGGAAAAAGTAATCTAAGTTTTTAAAAGAAAATGCTCTTGTCTGATTAAGACCTTCCCTTGGTGGCTCAGCATATTCCACAGCACTAGTGTACAGAGATTTACCTTCCTTTCTAGGGTATATGATACCCACTCAGATAACCCAGGACCAAGAATTCTAGCCAAAGAAGTGCCAGTCTGGATCTGCTAATTCAGGTAGAGAGTAGGATATAAATTGGCGTTGCTTCCACACCCCAGGCCTCAGGAAAGTCACCCTCTCTCCTCCGATGAAGTTTCCCAGCTGTGAGCTGACATTCCTTGTCTCTGTCCCCATTTGCTTTGAAATCCCCAGTGGTGCATTAGCTCGACCAGCCACTTTTTAAGCCTCAGGGGCTTCCTTGTTGTTTAGGTCTCATTGCTGGCCACATATCTTAACATAACAGGGCTCTTCCTTTCAGTTGCACCGCATCAATATTCTGCCTTCTCGATTAGGTCTAGGTCTGGGGGAACTTCTTAGGTATAGCACAGGGGACAAAAGGAGATAATGTAGTCAGGGAAATTAGAGAAGGAAAGACTTATAGGGTCGCCTCCTTACCTCTTGTCTTTGGAGGATAGTTTCCTTCGGGGTGGTACTGTCCATTTTATAACCTATTCTTAAATGCCCACCGGCACCACTGTGATTTCTAGAGTATTTATCCACACACATGGTGATGTCCTACCTCTCAAGGTATGGCAGAACATCCTCGACTGGGGAACACAGACAGAGAGAGAATCTCTGTTATGTTTATACAGTGCTGAGAATGACTCCTTGAAAATCCTCAAGTTCCGGGAGTTCCTGCTCTGACACATACAAACAGATTACTAAGGGAGGATGGGGGAGCTCCAGATACTTAAAAATAAACAGTCCCCCATCTGGGATGATTTGGCTATGGATTTGCCTGTAGCTACGTGTTGAGCTAAATGATTTCTGAAATCTATCCAACCTCCTCATGGTATAAAGAGTCAAAGTATAAATAATAATAGAGAAAATACTGTGTAGGTCTGCTAGTTTATTCAGGCTGCTGATATAATTCAGCTTTAAGAACCTCTGTCATCAGAAAGAGAAAGACAAATACCGTATGCTAACACATATATATGGAATTTAAGGAAAAATAAATATCATGAAGAACCTAGGGGTAAGACAGGAATAAAGACACAGACCTACTAGAGAACGGACTTGAGGATATGGGGAGGGGGAAGGGTGAGCTGTGACAAAGCGAGAGAGAGGCATGGACATATATACACTACCAAACGTAAGATAGATAGCTAGTGGGAAGCAGCCGCATAGCACAGGGAGATCAGCTCGGTGCTCTGTGACCACCTAGAGGGGTGGGATAGGGAGGGAGGGTGGGAGGGAGGGAGATGCAAGAGGGAAGAGATATGGGAACATATGTATATGTATAACTGATTCACTTTGTTATAAAGCAGAAACTAACACACCATTGTAAAGCAATTATACCCCAATCAAGATGTTAAAAAAAAAAAAAAAAAAGAATCTCTGTCGATATCCAAACATGAGGTAACAAAAGCAAAAATTTAGAGGGTGCTAATTAGCTAAA